TGGATAGATTTAAAACCTTGAGGGGTATTATATTGGTGTTTTTGATAAATTTTAAACATCCATGGACTAAAAATAATTTTACAAAATACGGTCCAACCAACCGATCCAACCGGTCAAACCAAAAATCGGACCCTTGAATGGGTCATGGTCCGGTCCGATTTTCAGAACATTGATATAGAGTAAACGATTTTTTCTCACCTGAATAATGACTTAATGACACATTCTAAATTTATATTCTATTTCGATTCTAGTATCGTTGCGACCCCACACTACCACCATTATCTTCTTCGATCATCACTTATTAAAACTCCTCAAACTCTACTCCCGTCAATCTCGCCAATCACCGACAATCAAGCAATTAAGGTTTGCATAGCTACCCCTCCCAAATCAAATTCTGATCAATCCCAACCACCAAAAGACTCATTGATCTCCCCTCTTCAAAAGCCACAATAGTCTGGACTAAGTTTTTCTTTTTGTTCACTATCAAAATATAAATTTAGATAATTAAATGATATTTTAAAAGTCTGTAGATAGAAAAAATTGTCATTAAGCCATAATTTAGGGGAGAAAAAATAGTTAACTCTCGGGTTACATTACTTAACTTAACCACTGCCAAATTGGTTACTTTAATAAGTGCTTTTGAAATTGCTATTACTAGACTCTGAAAAAATGATACAACTGGCGATAAAAAAAACAAAAAGCACAAGAATCGATTAGCATAGGAATAGCCGAACAGCATAGTCAATGCTTTGGCTTTGAATATTTGTTATGGGCAGAAAGGCAGAATCAATGAAGCCTAACATTGCACCCAACAACCTTTGTATCTTTTCATTCTAGTCCATCTGAAAGTACTGGTTGTGGTCCATTAAGACTGATATTGTTGACCATTCCTATGAATTGATAAAAGTGACTGATATCAGAAATTTTTACTAATGCTTCCTTCCTTCTCCCTCAACCCAGTTCATGTACCACCGCTCTAAATCAAAACTATTCCTGAAAACGAGAGTTGTAGATGTAACTTAACTTATTCTTCCTCTCTGTGGCCAAAAAACAAATCCCAGAAACTGTTGAAATCATCAGCCATTATTGAAACTGTTTGTTTAAAGCAATGGGGTGATATTTTCTGTTGACATAAATGGAGTTAAAAGAAAATATATAGTTAGACATAAATAATTGTACCAACTGTTTAAAACTGTCTGACCAGTTACATGAACAAAACATAAATATAATTGTTGACCCCATTGTTTAAACACACCATATCTTTTTATGAAGATTTTTTATTCTGTGTATGAAGATTTGTTTTCTTTCATAAAATAAAACTTTGCATCACTCATGATCTGTTACTCCAAATCCGACACAATCAACTTTAAACACAGTTCACAAACTGCAGGAACAGAAGATGCAGAGATATGTAATGTATATAAACTATAATTAAAATATCAAATATTATAATGAAGTAAGCATCCATAACTTGAAATATTCTTGGCTTAAAGAAATAGAGAAGTAAAGAGAAAGTGAGATGATGAAGCAGCAGTTTCCAGCAATGGTGTATTATAATATTGCAAATGGAATATAATTTAATGGGAGCAGAAATCATGCTGTTTGCTCTTGCCTCCTCCCCATTTTTGTAATTCCCAGTTCATGGCACATGAAAGGCCATATTACAGCTATAATTGTATGATGCTACTTGTTTTGTGGATGGTTAAAGTTTCAGTTTCAGAACCACTGTTTGGATGCATTATTCAAGAGATTTTGAGTTCAATCTATCTAGCTTGTTAACAGGAGCGGCCACTAAAGGGATTTACCTGACTATCAACTTTAGAATCTAGGAGATTAGTTGAGGTACACGCAAACTGACTCAGACGTTAACGAAAAAAAAAAGTTCAGTTTCAGTTTATTTTACAACTTATTCTTCAGCTTCTGCTTTAAAATGGGCTAAAACCAGGCCCAGAAAACCATTTTCTGGGCTTGCGTAGGTTAATCAGTTCTTTAATGGGCTGTCAATTTCCTGAGGAGACAACTAATAAAAGAAATTATTGAATGACAGGCCGTCTATGTCCTGAGGAGACAACCGACGTGTCACTTAATGCTTCAGTGAACATTTTATCCAAAAATATCGCCAGATATCCTTGAACAAAGACGAAGAAACAAGAAGAGAAACGATCCACCACGGCGATGTTGCACGTACCCTCTTTCCAGAATCTTCATACCCGCCAACCCTTCTTCAGTTTCCATCATCACCACCGTCATGTTCTCCCCATCACAACCTTCCATTCCACCGCATGGGCGCCGAAATCAACGGTCCCGATTCACCTCCGCAGAGGGCATACAATAAAGTGTATGGCGAATCCTCGGAGAGTGAAAATGGTGGGGAAACAAATAATGAGAGAACTTTCGGACATGCTCTTAACCGACAAAGTGTTGCAGTTTGCTGTCTTGCCCGAAGCTGCCTTAGGAGCCGACCGCTATCTCTCTTCTCTTACAACTATCAGTGACGTTGAAGTCTCCGCTGATTTGCAAGTAAATATAACTATATATTCTACTCAAATTTTTATTCATTTCATGTATTTTTTGTAGCATCTTAAAAGATGGTGTAAAATTAGAAATTTTTATAACAGTTCAGTTTTTTTTTTTTTTTTTTTGGATTGTATATTGGTTTGGTTGTTGAAAAATATTTTCAGATTATGCGTCAAATGATTAATTTTGTGGTTCTGGGTTTGGTTTTAGCTACTATGATGAGTAATTTCAACTTATGAAGATAAGTTATTTTTGTTGCGTGGACTGCATTGCATTGGACTTTTTTTCTTTTTTAGTTGTATAGATGTAATACTTTTGTTTTCGTAATACTCTGTAGTTTAATTAAGGAAGGATAATGAGTGTTCTGACTTTGGATGTTAAAGTTTGTAATGATTTACCGTTGTAGTTTATCCATGGCGATTGAGATATTAGAAATTTGTAGCAGACAGTTGTTTTAGGATGAAAAGTTTTGGTAGGTTTAGAAACATTGAATTTCATATTTGTGAATTGTGCGGTCAACTTGTTAAACTATGTTCTGTGGATTATCATTGTTGAATGTTACCAGCCTGGTGTTCTATGATACAAGTATCAGTTACATGTCATCAGAAAGGTGCTATTAAGAATGCGTTACTGTGATTAAGCTCCAATGTAGGTATTCTGCATGGTAAGATGTCAGATCATGGTGTATATATTGGTATAGTAATTAATTGTGGGAGTGACTGAACTTTCAAGTGAAATTGTAGTTATTTTGCCGGTGATTCATTCTATATTTCCGTATGCTTGCAGGTGGTTAAAGTGTATGTATCTGTTTTTGGAGATGATAGAGGGAAGGACGTTGCGATTGCTGGGTTGAAGTCAAAAGCTAAGTATGTTCGTAGTGAATTGGGGAGGCGTATGAAGTTGCGGCTAACTCCTGAGATACGCTTTATTGAAGATGAATCTTTAGAGAGAGGAAGCAGGGTAAGACCTTATCAAATATCATTTATCTTGTTCACAGTTATGTCTTTTCTTTATAGTTTAGGTAATTGTAATTTGTATTTGTGATACAATTAAGTATCTCTCTTTTCATTTTCCGACCCATACTGATATGTTTATTCTATTTCAGGTCATTGACATATTAGATAGGATTAAGGCTGAAAAAGAGGTTTCAAAAAGTCAAAAAGGGGAACAGCTTGAATCAGCTGATTTGCCTGAAAATGAGAAAGATTGGGAAGGTGATGATCCTGATGAAGACATTATATATGTGGAATAGCAGTGCGCTTAGTTCCTCAGCATTTCAATTGTTAGACTTACAGCAGGACTTTCCCTGTTCTCAGGTTAGTTATATCCTTTCTAGTGATTCTTGTAAATTTATAAGTGGTGCAGAAAATATTCTTTGTTTGAAGTACCAATTATTTGTGTGATTGCACTTCTGAAGTAGACATGGAACACTAACTTTGAACTTCGCGATATCCTTATCATAGCTCACAGGAACTAAGCCATCCCAAATTCCCATTTGTGACTATGACTATGCATACAATGTGGTGATGACTGGTGGGATAAACTTAGAACCGAAACCACACCTCTATGGAACAAGAACTTGGAATGTAGCCAAGAATTCCGATGATGGCATTTTATCATTATTCAGAACCTCGGTGCAAAGATTGGTTGTTTTTATGTGCCGAGCTTAGCGTTTCCGTTATGGATTACGTTTTTAGAACTTGATATTGCCATTTAAGCATACAAGAATATTTAAACTATCATTTATTTGGCAATTCAAATCAAACCATTGGTTGATGTATGCAGGGTGGTGATACTAGCCATATTGCCAACATGGACAGAAGCCTTGTCTGCTTGGCGTCATCGATGGAAGGATAGATTTTGACCATCTCAATTCACAAGAAGCTAATAGAAAAATTTTCTTGTGTAATATACAAGTTATAATCGTTTTGTTAGTTCTGAATACTAGTGTAGGTGAAGTATTGTGGAAATTCAGAACACTTGAGATATGATAATTTGAAAGCGAATGGAGCTTTCTGTGCAAAGATTCGGCCAGATTTTTTAATTTAATTTACACTTCGATATTCCTATTTGAAACTGGTATATTATACTTGATATTCAGTTAATATTGCAATTTCATTAAGAAACCACAAGGATATATATATATATATATATATATATATATATATTACTAATCTCGAAGGCATTGCAACCATCAAAGGTCCATCTTCCACAATGCAAGCAAAAAGATCATTGCAAAAGCAATGGATATAGCTTCTTTATACAGGATGATTAATCCTTATAAACCTAAAAACGATAGAAATTGCCATCCCCAGTAATTGAAAAGGTCGTTGCAGAAAAGAAGGAGCATTTGCTGAAAAAATCTGATGACCATAGGTCCATGGTGTTTGAGACACCATATCCACAAAGAATCAATACTGAATACAACTTTCCGGGCAAAGATAAATAACAACCAAACGGTGTCAAGCTTGGCAGTTGGGGCCTAATGGTAACAGAGGTTTATTATTTCAAATAAAGGATGATAATCATTCAACATTAGATTGTAACCAAAGTGAAAGCTAAATATTCATAAAAATTGTCAAAGGCAATCAAGTTAAGTTTCTTAAAAGATTGTATCTCAGAAAAAAAATTGATAAAAAGCAGCCAGCAAGGTCTGCAAAACCATTCGCCAAAGATGAAACGCTGCTTTCTTTAATGATTATTTCTATACTCAACTCAACTCAAATGTTCACTCAACTTGAAACAGATCCCACCACCACCTTCAATGGTGAGCCTTTGCAGCAGCCTTTTCTTCAGCTTTCTTGTGTGATCTTGCCTTTGCCTGTGGCAAAAACATACACATCAGTTGAGCATATCACAAAGTAAGTACTCATCCATTAGCATATATACAGATACAAATATAGATGAAATGGAAACACAGAATGCATAGTATATCTTCCACAAGAACAATGCAGAACTATTATGAACTAAAGTAAATTGCTCCTCTCACAACCCTGCCTCTGAATTTATACTTTTACTTGTTGCAGAACTTCATAATTTATTTATTTTTAATAAGCAAAATCCCTTGGCATTACGTGTTCACTGAGCTCTAAACTACTGGCTACTTCTCAGCTAAACTATCTACTGATCTCAAACTGTGACAATCAGTTACTAATCTAGATGAAAACAACTCATATCCTATATGAACTTGAACCTCGGCTAAACCCTACAATCTTGTCGAAGAAAACTAATTGTAGACAAAACCCACAGTAAATTCAGATTAAATATCTAATATTAGCCAAATATGCCCAGCTAAAAATATAAAAACAATTAGCAATAATCCACATCCAAAAGTTAACAAAACAAAAACATAAATTTAAAACAAAATGTAATGAAAACCACTCACAGATCGCACATTCAACCATAAAATTTTGAGTCGGAAATTAAACTAAAACAAAAATTTAATAAAATGAATCAGAAGATGGTGGTAGTACCTTGAGGTACTTGAGCTTCATGTGGCCATAAACAAGCCCATATGAGAAAGCCGAAACACGAGCCACCTATAGATTATCACCAACAAAACCCAGATCACAAAATCAAAATTTTTTCATGAACAAGAAACCAAAATAAAATCTTTTTTTCAAAAGAAAACAAAAGAGAGCCCATAAGTTGTGTTGATTAAAAAAAAAA